GACACCTACAGGAAGCAGGAGGGCAGCACTGCCCTCAGGGCACCGTGGATGCTCAGCGAGGCACGGCACATCCCTGGCCTCCCCAGCGCAGCATTATCTGCGGTGTGCCTCACCCACATGCAGGATGAGAGCATCGGTGTGACAGCAGACAGGCAGCTCGAAGATGTGGTCAGGAGGGAGTCCTGTGGCCAAAACTCCTGTCCTCAGACAATGTGGGTGCGACTGCAGACGGGTGGACCCTGCAGGCTCAGGACCCTGATGGCTGCAAGAAGCTCGGGTGGGACCTGGGGACTCGTGGAGGAGAGCTATCACAGACTGAGAACCCCATGGGCTGGACCAACACTGCAACCCCAACCGGTGGTTACCTTCTCTGTCCCTCTCTCTGTCTCTCTCTCTCTCTGTTTCCCAAGTTGTTAAGTAACACAGGATTTATTGCAGTTTCTTTTACAGTCACACACTTCAGCCGCACAGCTTAGAATTATCCATGAGAGTGGCAGTACTTCTAAGATCATTCTAGTACCGACATTATCACTGAGACTGATAACTGTGTTTGGACCTTGAGAGTTGCATCACCTTCATCTAACGGAGGCGACTGGTGAATCCGCTCACCCTCCCTCCCAGCACAGGTGGGACACGGCACCCACCCAGGGGTCCCGTCCGTGCGGTGCAGGCTGCGCTGACATCCCACAGCGCGCACTTCCAGGACTCCAGAACAAAGGGTCCGCGTTCAACCTGCCGCACGCACATACGCGGGGCTGCTCTCGTGATCGCGGGCGAAGTTTACGGATGGCCAGCCGCTGCAGGGGCGGCCAGCGCGACGAGCAGGTGCCGGGCGGGAGGGGAAACGCCGCTCCGACTCGAGGGAGCCCCGATGCAGCGCCGAGCTCCGCGCAGGGCCGCCGCGGCCACTCGGCGATGCCGGCAGGCGAACACCGCGCCCTGGGGACGCAGCCCTCGCCGAGGGACGGCCGCGCCCCGCCGCGTCCCCGCGCCTGCGGATGGCGGCGGCCGCTCCGCACAAAGCGGGGTGGGGCTGCGGGAGCCCCGCAGCGCCGCACCACCGGCACCGCCCCCGGCTTTCCCGCACGGCAGCGGCCGGAGGAGCCGTCCCTCCGCCGCCGGCCGTCCCGTTCCCGACGGCGGCAGGTGCCCGGCCTTCTCCCCCCACGCGCTTCTCGGCCCCGCGCCGTCCCGCTGCTTACCTCGCCGCTGGCCGCGGGGGTCCGGCTGCCCGCAGGGCGTGCACATGGGAGCCGCGCCGCGCCAGCCCAGCCCGCTCCCCGCCCCGGCCCGCCCCCATGCCGCGCCCCGCAGCCGGGAGGTGTCCGCGGGCGCCCGGTGCGGATGCGGGCGGCTGGCGGTGCGGCGCTTGCTTACCGCGGCTTGACGCTCCGGCGCCCCGCGCCTCCCCTGCGGGGTAGCCGCGCGCTGTCCCTCGACGTCGTCGAAGGGTCCCGGTGCGGTCTGGGCTGCGTTTGGCAGGGAAACGCCTTGCTGTCATCTGCCCACAGTCGCAGCGCCGCCGCCGCACGGTGATGCGCCCGACCGCCGCTCCCACGTCCCTTCCTCAGCTCGGCACCGGGCTGGCTCGGCGGCCCCGGCAGCGCACGTTTGTTGGCACGCGTGGGCTCGGAGCCGCCCGCCTTCGCAGGCGGCTCGCCGCGCCCGCAGAGCCGTAGCCCGGCCCTGGGGCCATGGGTGGTGCCGCGGAGCTCGGCGAGGAGGTGGCGATGCCCGAGATCAGGGCGCACGAGGTGTCCCTGGCCAGCTACCCGCGGACATCGCTCCGTCCCGTGCCCGCATCCCACAGCTATCATCGGTCGGTCGCGGCGGCGGCTCTGTGCTGAGCCGGGGGAGGACAGCCCTGCAGGACCGTGCTCTCCTGGGGTGGGATGCTGCAGTTCGGAAGCAGGAAGGATGCGGGGCTGTTGGAGCGAGCCCAGAGGAGGATCTGAGGGCTGGTCACCTCTCCTGCAGTGAAAGGCTGAGGGAGCTGGGCTTTGGAGAAGAGAAGGCTCTGGGGAGAGCTCACTGTGGCCTTCCAGGACTTGAGGGGAGCTTATAAACGAGAGGGAGAACAACTTTCTACACAGTTGGATAGTGACAGAGCAAGGGGGAATGGCTTTAAACTTAAAGAGGGGATATTTAGATTAGATGCTAAAAAATAAATAGGTGAGCCGCTGGCACAGCTGCCCAGAGAAGCTTTAGGTGCCCATCCCTGGAGGTGTTCCAGGCCAACGTGAATGGGGCCCTGGGCAGTGTGAGCTGGTGTGACCTCAGCTCCATCCCCACTGCTGAGGACAAGAGAAACAACAGGCCTGCAGTGGGTTTGCATGGAAGAAGCCTCTTGTTGGCTACACCCAATTAACACTGTCTAACGAGAGCTTGCCTGGTTTCCACCTGTCCTGCTGTAATTATTTTCAGCCTTGCAAAGCTGGACGTCACTGGCTGCAGCAGACACATGCTGGCAGATGGTGTGGAGGCACAGCATGGACTTCTGAGGCTGACTTAAACATTGCCCTTTCAAAACTGGTGGGCCTTTCAGAGTTTCAACGTGTGAGAGATTTTATCGTGTTGAAAAACATTAAACTAGCAGAGGATTAAGCAAAATACAAGTGTCGATTTGAATTTGGAACATCTATTCCCACAAGAAATTGCCATAAACAGCCCAAGCACTGCAGGCAGGTCCTGTGATGGAGCCTTATCACTCCCCTCCCCTGGCAAGGCCTTCACTCTGCTCCGTCATTCTACCTGGAAGAGAAGCCCAAGCCTGGGATAAAAATTAACCCAAATCAGAAAAAAAGAGTCCTGGGCCTGGCTCTGTCAGGGCAGCACGCCAGGGTGCAGGAGGGGATCGAGTTGCTCTGCTATGTGCTGGCACTTTTGCAAGCAAGGGATTAGCTAAGGGGTATGAAGGTAACGGTGGTTCAAATCAGGGCTGAAGCCACCTGCTGAAAACCCAGGGACTCCTGAGCCAGCAGAAGAGTTCTGTGTAGTTCACAAGTGCCAGTGCAGGCAGGTGGAACTACTGGACTCCAGTGCTCCGTCTCAAACTCTTGTTTTCCAGCCGTGACAGCTGGCCGTGGCAGCACAAAGTATCCTCATGAATTTCATGCAGAGATAACCTCTGTTCAGAACAGCCAGGATCCACGGCTACCACAGGTCTTGCCGAGGCCACCAGGACCAGCACACAGCTAAGTTAAACCTCAGGGCCCGGCTCAATCCCGTGACACCAGTGTTTCAGCCCAGCACTGGTCAGGAGCATCAGAGTTGGTAGAGCAGGAGGGAACAGGAGCAGGGGCTGTGAGAGCACGCTGGCTAGGCAGAGGCCTTGCAGTTATTCCCATTTTCACCACAGTTTAGGAAGGAAGCAGTGGTCATACACCCAGCAGGTGATTAACAATCAGAGGAACACCATTAAACGTTACGTGTGGAGCAAAACCTGTAAGTCTTAATAACAACAGGATTTTAACTATACTTCTAATTTCCACGTCATTATTTAAGAGAGGATGCTTTTCAAAAGCCAAAAGTAGCAGCAATCTGTATTTGTGTGCACACATAAATCTATGAGTCAATCAGATCAGCAGCTATAAAGAACATCCTTCTGTCTTTGGAGCTTCTCTAGTTACATGGAATCCTTTTAAAACTGGTGTGGTTATTTGGGGGTCGGGCAGAGGGTTGAGATGTTGTGGTAAGACACTGCTGAGACTTTCTTCTCACGCACAGTCGGTGTGCACAGGTGTTACTGACGGCAGTGGATCTGTCTCGCTGTTGCCCGTCTATCCGCTGCAGGGTTCTCGCTCTTCCCAGACCTCAGCTCCCATTTGAATGTAAATTCATGCTGTGTGCCGGCCTCTAGAGGGCTCTGCCAGCTCAGGCTTCTGTCATTCTTCGAAGCGGGCTGATCGGAGTCCTCGTGTCTCATACCGTATGCGCCAGGCTGCTGGGCTCACCGCTGTCCGTGGCTTTGGCTATCGCCCAGCTGGCTGAGAGCAGCACGGGCTGTGGATGCCCCGTCTCCCTTTCTCTGCAAGCGTGGATGACTTTATACACACAAGGTTTAGAGGAGGCATAATTTGCTGAGTGGGCTCCTAAAAATACAGAGCAGATGTCTCACCATACAGCAGGGCGCTGCAGGCACACCTGGAATAAAGCACCTCTCAGCAGGAAAGCAGGGCAGCAGAATCAGGATGGGGAAAAAGCTGTATTTATCTGAAGTGCTTGACCAACTCTGCGTCTGTGGAGGACTGAGCTGCAGGCCCAAGGGATGGGGCAGCCCCAGGGCAGAGGAGAAAGCTATCAGATCTCATCTGCTAGAGGCAGGAGGGGCACTTCGGTGCACTGGAGGCCATGGAGGCCAGCAGCTAATTCAAGAAATAGTAACTTTTTGTGTGTGTGTGTGTGATCTAGCCCAAATAGTTTCACCCCTAATGTGCCATATTCCATGCGTCAAAGCAGCACCCACACTCAAAACTTGGGCACAGCAAAGAGGAGAAGCATGCCTCAGAGGCAGAGAGGGCCACATGCTTGTCCTGGTCAGCTGTGGGTCGAAAGACTCAGCTGCCCTCAGCAGTCCAAGTTGCTATGCCATGTCCATAGCCAGCTGGTTCACAGCAAGATGAGGGCTCTCTAGTGCAAATTCAGTTTGTCACACAGATGGCTCTGCTCAAAGCTAAAGAAAGAGGAAGGGTACTTCCCAGCATCTTCCAGCCAGGCAAGAGACACACCTTGTGCCCCTGTGGATTCCCACAGGAACCAAAATAAACTGGATAGACAACTCCACCTTCCCCCGTTTCATTTCATTTGTCCCAGCCTGAGCCCCATAGCAAGATGTCCTCCAGCTTCCAGGCCTTCTTCAGGCCCAACCTGGAGAGAGCAGCATGACTCAACAGCTGCAGGTTTGTATGTGTGTGCGCTCTCCTGGCAAGTGAACCACTAAAGGCACTGTGTGTTCAAAGAGCAGGTTCCCCTCCCAGACAGTTAAGAAGTTTAGGTACCAGTGAGGAAAAACTCTTGCTTTACTTATTTATGATTTTGTATGCACAGAAAAATCTCTTTCAAGCCTCTTCAAAAATTGCCCTGCCTGGTTGGATCACCTGCATCATGTTGTGGTACCACCACCATTATTTCCTACAGACCTTCAGCTGCATCTCTCAGTTGCACAGCACGGGGTGGACAGGATGGGTAAAATTCCTCTGACACCTTCCAATCTATCACAAAGCCTGGCTAAATCCCCACACGGTCCTACATCGACAGCCTTCCAGGGGCAGACGAACTCCTACAAGCATCTGTTCTCCCTCTGTCACATACAGATAGCTGTTAGACCTTCCACAAGGTGAGAGAGGAGTGATGAGCAGTTTTCGCTATATCTCTTCCTCCTCCTCACTAACGATTTCCTCCAAGCCTTGAGATCCCTGCTCTGCTCTCCCTTTTACGTAGGCTGCTTTGATCTGTTCCAGCTCGCACAGCTCTGTCTCCAGCTCTTCCCTGTGAATTCTCCTCCGATTCCTCAGCAGTTTCATGGGGAAGGGGTTTAAATCATTGAAGGCAATGTTCATCAGCTTCCTGCAATGGAAAAGAGGCCCAGTGAACCCATTTACTGTCTGAAATAGTAACAAATATCCAAGTGTTTAAGGAGAGTGGGATTTCCCAGACCAAACCTCTCTGGTGCAGCTCGTTATTCACTACTCCAGGATGCTGCAGAAAGTGTTTCAGCCCTCTGTGCTCAGCAGTCACAGCAGCAGAGCCATAAAGAATCACAGACAATTGCTTCTTATGCAAACAACAAAGCAAGGGAACCTTTTAAAATACACTTTTAAAGTATGCAGCACACCGTGAGGAGATGGACTATCCAAGACTAACCCTGATGACTCATCTTCCTTGCAGGAGGAATAGTCCCTCTGCTCAGCTCTTCTGATTATACAACTGCTATTCTTAAGCACTTGGTGCTATTAAAGGCCATGAGCAGCACTATGCTCCCAAATACCCTGATCACTTCAGCCGTAGGAAACCCAGGTAGGACTCCCAAGTTCCAGCTGCTGAAAAAGAGAACTAACACAGGCTTTCTGGCCAGGCCTGTTGTAGCATGACATTGTCCAAGCCAAGCAGGCCTTAAGTAAGAGCATGGAGGAACAGTCAAAAAAGAGGCACATAGGTCTACGTCCTGTTGACATGCTAGTGTATGCATCTGTTAACACATTAGTCACATCTCCTTTTAGGTTGATGTAAAAGATGAACAAGTACAGGCCTAAGGTAGGAGCTTGACAACACCTCACAGTCCGTCCTACCTGCCATCCACAATCATCCTTGTGAAAAAACGTAGGTACTGGTAGATCTCCACACTGTCATGAATTCTTAGGATTTCCTCCTCGTTGTATTTAAAAATCGCAAGAGCATAGCGGAAAATCACCTGGAAAGTTGAAAGGCATTTCAGTTGGCAAAGGCTTAGCAACTGAGGGAACAGGCTCTCATGGCTTAAAACATAGGGTAAGGGATACACACTGCAGTACATGTGGTTGCTGGGCCTGTACTCAGTAGGCTGCTTTAGGGCGGGCCTAAAGAAGCACAGAGCTAAACCCAAAAGAACAAACCCAAGAGAACAACCTCCTGTGAGCTAATTTACAACTCTGGAGCATACCAGAGCCTCCAAAAGGACACTAAAACTAATCTACAAGGGTTTTCCAGTTCTCTCTATGCAGAGGGACAGTGCAAAATTCACACTTATTTCCAGCAATACTAAATCTCTGCCCATCTTCTGATCCCTGTATCTGTCCACTCTCAGCTGTGTCTGAGTTGTAGAGCAGAGGGGACCATATCATAGAACTGTTTTACAGCTGGACTACGTGCTAAGAAATGGCAAGGGCACCACGCATAATATCAAAGGCTTGGTCTGCCTGCAGGCAACACAGCAACAGAAGATGAGGAGACATCAAGTCATCGCACTAAAGAGGCAGATGGACAAGAGGCTCATGCCCACACCTCCTGACACGTGTGAACGTTCATCAATCTGCTGTCACGTCAGATGTGATGCAGACAGAAAGAAGCCCTAGATTAAGGGTTTTACCTTAGTCCCTTCATACAGGAAAGCATCCCACACTCGCAGGAGGATGTCACTGACCAAGCTGTCCACAAAGGCCACCAGAAACCAGTTGAAGGTAATGAGTGAGACATCAATCTGATACTGCTCAAAATGAGCCATGAGGCGAGGCAGCTTCTCTGCCAGGAAGTCTTTGAAGACTCTTTGATCTACCTAAACTTGACCAAAACAACAACAACAACAACAATTAGCAAGCACAAACCACCCTAGTGTGAAGGAGAGGGACAGTGAAGCAGAACAGTGGCCTATACATGCCACTGGTGCTGCCTTATAGCCTAAACAGGAAGAGCGCAGAATCTCATTGTCTCTCAGCCCTTCATAATTACTGAGCAGCAAACTTTTGTGCGGTACCAAGTGACAGGTGTGGAGAGGGGTGGAGTGTGGAGCTGAAACAGGGCTGAGATGTGCAGAAATGTGCTCTTCTCACACAGTGGCAAGAGTTCTCCATCTCAAAGTCACGAGGAAATCACTGACACATCTTTCCACATCAGTCTTACTGCTATTTTCTGTGATGTCATGAGAAACCAGCTGAGTAACAGGGCATGCCCAGGGCTGAATGACTGCACATGGCCTAACAGACTGAATACGTATGACCCCTCTCTGTCTTCACAAGAAACAGCTGATCTTCTCAGTTCACTTCCTTGTGGACTCACTGCTGTCAGTTTTGCTTGTAGCTGCATGAACCTAGACACACAAATGCAGCTGGTGAAATCCTTTAATCAGTGCAAGGATGCACTGGAACAGGTTGCCCAAGGAGGCTGTGGATGCCCCATCCCTGCAGGCATTCAAGGCCAGGCTGGATGTGGCTCTGGGCAGCCTGGGCCACTGGTTGGTGACCCTGCACACAGCAGGGGGGTTGAAACTATATGATTATTGTGGTCCTTTTCAATTCAGGCCATTCTGTGATTCTATGATACCAAACAACATGCCTTGAAAACTTTGAAATCCACTGACTTTAAACAGGAGGGTAACACAGCATTTTATATCAAATGGCTACAGTGCCTTCTGATCTGCAGGGAGTTCCAAAGCCAGAATTAGGCTATTTGATCCTAACCTGAAGCACAGTTGATACTAAAATTCCATTGCCTTCCTTCATCTGCGCTGGGCAGTCCAAAGATGGAGGGCAGTTTCCAAAAAGACACTTCCTTCATATTTGGTTCTACAAGTCAGAGTTAGCTACTTCACTTTCACTGGGTCCTCCTTGCAATAAATAACTGCAGTTAATGGGTACCTCTCTTCTGACTAACCTGACACCCAAGTGATTATTCAGGAGTGGTGCCACATTTCTTAAGCAACTTTATAACTGTAATGGAAGGAACTGCAAGGTGATGTCAACTGTCAGAAGTCAAACACATTGCAAGCTGACTACTTGTTTTTAACCCTTTACCAAAAATCACCACATCAAAGCAGTACAAGCAGTAGAGGGGGGTGCCAGCTCACCTGTGATGTTATCAGGGTGTCACTGTAGTAGTCTGCTGGCATTAGGTTCTCCACAATATGGACCAGACACCAGAAAGCATTTTCCTCATCTTCCAGGACCAACAGGGCAACAGCTGCCAATCTGCAATGAACAAAACAAAGTGAGGCAACAGAACACTGCAGGAGGAGACAGAGTCCAACACAGAACAGGAGAATCCAAGATTCTTACTGGCCTGTCTCTAGCTCTGTGAGGGAGCACAGCTGGTCAGAGAATGATCTGTTCTGCAGGCTTCTGAAGGAACCCAGGGTCTATGCCTTCCTTTCCTGTGTGTTTCTGTCAGCAAACAGGAAGCATCAAAAACAGAGCTTCAGCAACAAAACCGGGCTTCCGAGCTAATGGAATGTTCTGTAGAGATCCTTGCATTTAGCAAAGTGTGCTGGTTATGGCTATTTCAACATAGCAAACAGCTTTCTTAGAGACATTCCATATTATGTGACGTGGCTCACCTCATCCTTCCACTCTTATTCCCCTTAGCTCTGACTCATCTCCCTTTAGCTAGATGGGAAGAGTTCAAGGCTGGGGAAACATACAGAAGCTGGATCAGACTTTCAGCAGCGTGATCTGGTGTAAGGTATCCCAGGGAGGGCAGAGCAGACTGGAACTAGATTATCTATAAGGGTTCCTTCCAATCTGATCCATTTTACAATTCTACAACATCTAATATCAAGGGATTTCTGGAATAGAAAACATCTTTCTGACGACCACCTGAAGAGCAATAGGAATGGCTTACAGAGATTTTCCTCACATGAAAATGTACAATCAGAAACTCCCTTCCTGCAGCTAGTGACCCGTGCCTCTTTTTGTAGGCTACACGCTTCTAAGAAGCCTGTTTTTTTTTTTTAATCTGTTCTGTAGCCTGAATTTGGGAAGTGAGAGAAGCTTCCAGATTCCCTGAGCCTCACAGACTGATAGAGCTCAGGCTGTTCAGCCTGGAGAAGAGAAAACTCCAGGAGACCTGGTGGTGGCCTTCCTGCCTCTAAAGTGGAGGGGCTATACAAACAAAGGGGACAGACTTCAGCAAGATCTGCTATGACAGGACAAGGGAAAATGGTTTCACACTAAAAGAGGAGATACTTAGATTGGCTATAAGGAAAGAGTTTTTGACATTAAAGGTGGTGGGGCACTGGCACAGGTTGCCCAAAGAAGTGGTGGATGCCCCATCCTGAAGACACTCAAGGTTAGGCTTGACGGGGCTCTGAGCAACACGATCTAGCTGTAGGGTCCCTGTTTGCTGCAGGGAAGTTGGAGTAAATGACCTTTAAAGTTACTTTTGAGTCTGTAATTCTTCAGATACAACCAGATCAATTTCCTTAGCTTCTCCTCATGTGTCATCTGCTCCAACTCCTAGCACTTCCTAACACTTCCTCCAACTATCACAAGACTAAAGCCATCACCAATGTTCTTTTGAGCACATTACGACGCACAGATTCAGCCTATATGTCGTGACATTAGCCTGGGACTGTATCACTCCACCTCCTATAACTTTTCCTCTGAAAATTACAAAATAGGAAGACAAGTGCATTCTGTTGCTTGCTACAACACAGCAATAACACTGGGTAGAAAAAAGACACCATATACAGAAAATATCTAGAGCTAGTACAGCTCTAGAGAGGGACAGGAGCCTGGGACTGTTTGAATCACAGCCTAGTGAAAGTACCTACACCATCTCAGTGCAATCCCATGAAGAAGCAGCATACCTGGCTCCTCACCTGTTCAGTCCCTGGCAGTATCCAATGGCAGGATTGTGCCAGGAGAATGCCAGCAGCACCCTTCGGAGCTTGGGGATGAGCTGGGAAGTGGGAGATGAAAAATGTCTGTTGCTGGTCAGTGTGCGGGGCAGGTCAAGCTCAATCTGCCGACAGGCAGGGTGCTCAGTGCTCTTGCTCTGTCTTAACAGCCGCTGGTAGTGGTCAGGCAGATAGCTGCAGTGCTGGCTGACAATCCACTTCCAGACCCGCTGCCGATGCTCCACAGGAATGCCACTTCTAATAAGGCTTTTCAGCTCTGCAGAGGGACTCAGCTCCCCGATGCTATTCCACCTGTCACGAAGGGGCTTCTCCACTACCTCCTGGCTCCGCAGGTTGTTGGACTTCATCTCCAGGGCTTGAATTTTGGCCAGAAGTTTCCAGTCCTCAACTTCGTAGTCAGGTACGGTCATAAACCCATACTCATCATACTCACTGGAAGGGCACAAGGCAGAGGTTAACTCAAAGGCTGGCTCTGGCCTCTGTGCCAAGGGCCACTGCTGTGCTCCTGTCACCCACGCCAGAGCACAGGTACTTCTGTGCTTCTCTGGCAGCTGTGTGCATGAGCCTGCCATGTCTGCCGACACACAACCATAGTGGTAGCCTGCACCAACACCACAGACAGACAGATGAACTCAAGTGTAGCTGCTCTGAGCTGTAGTCTGACCCCAACAGATCTCTTTACTCAATCCATCTTTTCTCCTACAAACAAGGTAGCATCTTGCTCAACCTGTTTATCTTCTCTGTCTTAGGACAGAGACAGTTTGGGACTGCAAAAGCTTCAGAGCATCAGAACAGAGAATAGAGACCAACAGCACCTTCGGATGTCTTCTGCGCTCAATGGAAATCTCTTTCTAATCAGACACTCCAGAAATGCAGATAACGGTGCTTGTTGAGGGTCTGTGCACCCTCAGTCCCCAGTCAGAGCTAATTCCAAGGTATCACATGGGTTGGAAGAGATCAAGTCCAACCCCTGCTAAAGCAGGAGCCCTACCGTAGGTTGCACAGGAAACAAGTCAGTCCATGTCCATGCTTGTTTTATCTTTTCTAACATATCGTATCTATTAATTTCAAATTAATACAGCATTAATCTCAGCTAACATGGCGAGGTAAAGGGATTACAATTCATCTCCACCTTAATATTTCCTGATCTCAAGGTAGAGCAAGAGCCACACACCCACATCCAGAACCAGGCAGGCATTGTCCAAGTGAACTGGCAGAGAGACCAAGCCTGGCCTTAGACTCTTAGGGCTATCTGGAGAATCTGAATCTAATCAACCAGGTGTAATAGAATCTGTTACGAAACTGGGGCAGTAACTGTGCAGAATAGCATAAACACAAATGCAAGGTCCTCAGCAGCACTAATAGCAAAGCACCCCTGGGGTCTGCAGTCCAGCCCCACCCCTTACTGCAAGACTGACCCACAGCTAGAAACAGGGCAGTCATGGCTTTATATGAATGGGTCTAGAAAACTCTGAGCAATAAATATTCTCTACTTTCCAGGGGACCTCTCGTGCATTTCTGTACTCTGCTCTGGTGAGGCTGTACCTCAGGTACCGTGTTCAGTTTGGGCCCTTGATACAAGAAAGGCTGAGGCGCTGGAGCATGTCTAAAGAAACACAACAAGGCTGGTGATAGGTACGGAACAGATGGGGGAGCTGGGCTTGTTTAATCCAGAGCAGAGGACACTCAAAGGAGATCTCATCACTCTCTACAGCCATCTGAAAGGAAGCTGTAGCAAGGAGGGAGTCAGCCTCTTCTCTCAGGTAACTAGTTAGTGACAGGGTTTATAAAACTTTTAACTCCCCTTCCTGCAGTGATGTGCTACTATCAGCTGTGCATGGTTTGCACATTATCATTTTTCCTCTACCTCTCCTTGTAGGTCATGGCTCCAATTCCCTGCTATAGAGCTGTCTCGGATCTCTCTTGCCTGCAAATTCCCCTCCACTGACAGACTCCTGCAAGGGTGTGAATTTCCCCACATGCTTCTCTATTACCTCACAGGGTTCAGGTTCAGATCTGCTCCTTCCTTCACATCCCACTGGAGTGCTTCCTGGATGAGGTTCCTCACCAAATCAGCATGTGAGCTGGGCAGGCCGCAGAGAGTCTCCTGCAGCTTCCGCAAGACCGTCAGGTATTTGCTCTCCATCTGGCAGTTTTGGGCTTGCAGATAGGCACACTGATGGCAAAACAAGAAGGAATGAGGTAGCTCATTGACGGTTTTTCCTCTATCACCACTGCTCGTTGCTAGCCTGGCCCACACATAAAACAAAGACTCCTGAATAGCAAGACCCCAGAAAACACGCCCAGCAGTTTTCTACACCCATGAGAAGCACAGCTATGAATGAATCACCACTGCCAATGAACACACATAAGCTTCATAAGCAAGCACACAACAGAATTTGCTTTTTGAATGGCAGGCCAAATACAGCATCACCTGCTTACCTACTGCACTGCATCAGGGGTGGCCATATCCCAGGCAGCACGGATCAGAGCCACCACTGCATCTGAATTCTCTTCAGGCTTTTTCTCTGCTGCTTAGACAAGTTCTCTACCACAGACTGAGCTGTACTCTGAAAATACACACCACTCAAGGGGCTGAGCTGGAACCTCCACAACTTCAGGATACGCAGCAGAATCACAAAGTGAATGTGCTCCCAAGCAACCTCATACCATCATACTGCTATCCAACATCAAGCACAAGAAGCTCAAGTGAGTTCAAACAGAGCAAAACCACCACACTCCAGGGCATACAGAAAAGAAAAAAAAAGCAGGTGGGGAGGGGGAGAGGAGGGAAACGGGGAAACGAGGATTGTTATCACCACTTCACAATTCACAACTGAGGCCATACAGGTGACAAAACTCACCTAATCAGTGTTTCACAGGAAGCACGAGGACTTCTCAGTGGGAAGCAGCAATTAAAAACAAAACAGGAATCACAGAAAGAATTAGGCTGCATAGAAAGTGGACAGAAAAGAGCATAGGACACTGTCACACTACCACTTTACTCAGCATTTTGCCTCAAGTCGAGCATTTCAGTATGATTACTTCCATTCTGAAGCTGACAGCAATTGGAGGATCAGAGAACAAGAACAAGCTGAGGTGTACTGGGTTTCAAAAGACTAGGAAGCAAAGAGATAAAAGAATGACAACACCACCTCAGAAGCAGCTGCTTGCCCTGTTACAGAATCCAAGGCTATGGGGACATTCCTTGAAATCTAGTAAGGAAAACCCAGGGAAAACCTAGAGAACAAATGCCAGCCTGAAGCAGTGGTTTAGGACCAGAAAGACAAGTCTAAGCACAACTAGTTTATGCATACTTACAATACTAGAAATAAAAACAGAGCCTAAGAAGAGAAATCAACTCTCAACTAGCTGCAGGATCTAAGAGAATTGCTACCTGACAGCACCAGGCCTTGTGCAGAAATCAAAACTAGATGGAGCCAGGACCTAGTCAGCCTGCCAAGTCTCAAGAACTTCTCATTCTCTTAGCACAGACATTTCTTTATTTGTATCCAAAAGTAAGGCTGAATCTACAGGAGTCTGAGTTAGTTTTCAGCATCCCTAAGAGTGAACTTTGCAAGCATTTTACTTTGACTGGAGACAGAAAACAATCATACCTAATCTGGGAACAATACAAAGCAAGAAAATTAAACTAAAAATAATAATTGAAATTAAAAAAAAATAGGAAACAAATTTCTTCCTGGTGAGTTTTTGTATCAAAATCATCCCAGCACCCACTTAGGACAGAGCTTAGAAAAAGGTGTCCCCAAGAAAAAAGAACTATTTTGCTCACCTTCATCAGAAGGGCTTTTTCATTCTCAGCAACTCTTGTCCAAAGTCGAGTAACCTGGTGGATCTCCGAATTGAGAAACTGGTTCTGGGTTTTGTATGCATCGATATCATCCTGCCACAAAACAAAACAGTCACAGAGGAACAGTGCATGAGGGTCCCTAGAGGGACTTGGGTATGGAATGAGTAAAGGACAAGAAAAAATGTCGTGTTCTAGAGACAAGACAGGACTTTCCAGGACAAATACAGTCTACAAAGGAAATGACGGCACAACATTAAATAGAGGTGTCATGCATAGAGAAGACACTTGGAAAATGCTAAATGTACTTAGAAAACATATGCACTTATAAGAGTAGAGACAGCTGGATGGCAGAAAGCTAAAGAAACAGCTAACTGAGATGAAGAATACTTTTCTCCCTTTTTTAAGAAGCAGATGCAGGTTTCAGCCCGACAGCTGGCAGAAAAAACACTTCCCACAGCAGAGTGCCTCATTTGGCAGTTCTCCACCCCATGCTAACAGTTCATTATAATGGTGCGTGTGGTAACAGTGCAACAGGCTGGATTTGAAAAAAACTAAGATGTGTTGGGAAACTGTTTGCAAGAGGGAAGCACACACCAATAGAGCCATGAAGACAGCAGGTTAGACAGCAGTAAGTGAAACAGGAGACTGAACAAAGAGGCTGGCTCTCAGTGTTAACTAGATCAAAACAGTATTTTGTTCCACCTGGCTGAAGCCAAGCTATCTGCTTCTGAGAACTCTATCAATACCAGGTGAGGCCCTCCCACCCCGTCTCTGATGCACACAGAACTAGAAATACAGTCTGTGCTTTCCACTAGGAACAATCTCCCACTGAACCGAAGGGTACAGGAATGCAACCTCTCAAATAATCTGTGTCACCTCCACACACCTTCAGGTGCTCAATCTCCTCCTGCTGTTTATACAATGTCTCTGCAGTGACAGCGTTTGCTTCTTGCAGGGGATCAGAGTGTTCTCGGGTCCTCTGCTCTGTCAAGGCCATGATGACTTGCTGTTTGGCATGGTTCTTCTCCATCAGAAGCTGCACATGCTCTTTGAGTTCCTGGATATGGCTGTCTCTCAGAGCAAGCATCTGCTCAAGTTCCTTCTTCTCCTGCTCAAGAGCTTCCAGTCGACTGGTGAGATCTGCAATTTGTCTCACTTTGTGGCGCACTAACTCCAGCCTGTCCTTATCTTCTGCTGCAGTGAGATACATGCTAGACACTCGCTTCTCCTGCTGGGCTGCCTCCAGGGCTTTGTGGAGAAGCTTAACCAACTCCTGGTAAAAGAAAGCAAACTCACAGTGATTAGCTCACAGTGTGCCCAGGGCGCTGCCCAGAACTCTACAGACCTGCCTAGTAATGAGTGAGCAGCTAAAGATCCTCAGGATCTCAAAACTGACTCCCCTCTGAAGGAAAACTGAATGGAAATTGCTATATTCGTTTCAGCTTTCACACTGCAGAAGTCCTCCCTCACTCCAAGCCACATGAATGTACAAAAGCTTCTTCCAGCACTGTGCTGCTGATTCATGCTTTGCTGTCTCAGACATTTAAGGAACCAAAACAAGGGTGTAACTTAATTACCCACCATGGGACCTGGCTCTCTTGTCTCTTTTGCTGGAAAGAGATACTAGCATTACTGAGGATTCTGGCACTGTCACTCAGGAGACAGAGGCCTTGCAGTGACTGGGCTCTGCAATCACATCACATCTTAATGGCGGACTGTTGTTTAAAAAAACCATGACAATTCAATCTGGCAGCTCCTGTCAGTATCACGATATCCAATCCAAGATTGTACTTCATACATCTGTTAAATAACATACACCAGCATGACAACTGCAGAACCCACCTGGATTTTTTTTTAACTTCTCTTTTCCAACCTGTCTGCTAGATGTGTTTTGTGGTTAATGAATGTCTGTGCTTTCCTTGTGCTGGGCACCATCAGGTTATGTACATCAGAGTGACACTAGGAGCTTCAGCTGAGTGCCTGCTCAGCCCCCTCAGCCTTACCAAGCACCAAGGTCCAGGAAGTCCCTGTGAACACTTTCAGGGTCCTGCCCTTAAAGGCAGAAGATTCTTCACCGCACTCACCTTCTGTGACTTGACCTCCTCTGTGAGTGTCAGCATCTGTTGCTGTAGGACGTTCACTTTATCCATTGAGTTCCTCTCCCGGGGTTGCTCTTCTGCCAAGCTACTGTTCACCCACTTGGCTTTCCTAAACAAGTTCAACCGAGACTCCATCCTCCCATCCTCCGGGGTCTCCTTCACTGAAAGGAAACTGAGTTAATTTATACAGAATCACAGAATCACCAAGTTGGAGACCTACAAGATCATCCAGTCCAACCATCCACCTACCACCAACAGTTCTCACTAAACCACATCCCTCAACACAAAACTCAAACGTCCCTTGAACACCTCCAGAGTCAGTGACTCCACCACCTCCCTGGGCAGCCCATTCCAGTGCCTGACCACTCTTTCAGACAAGCAGTATTTCCTAACATCCAGCCTAAATCTCCCGTGGTGCTGCTTGAAGCCATTCCCTCCAGTCCTATCACTGTTACACGAGAGAAGAGGCCAACCCTGAGCTCACTGCAACCTCCCTTCAGGTAGTTAGAGAGCAATGAGGTCCTCCCTGAGCCTCTTCTTCTCCAGGCTGGACAATCCCAGCTCCTTCAGCTGCTCCTCATCAGCCCTGTGCTCCAGACCCCTCACCAGTTTTGTTGCCCTTCTTTGAACCCGCTCCAGGGCCTCAATGCCCTTCTTGCACTGAGGGGCCCAACACTGAACACAGCACTCGAGGTGCAGGCTCACCAGTGCCGAGAACAGGGGGGCAAGCACTTCCCTGTCCCTGCTGGCAACACCATTCCTGATGCAAGTCAGGATGCCATTGCTTCTTGGCCACCTGGGCACACTGCTGGCTCATGTTCAGCCCAGCACCAACCAACACCCCCAGCTCCATTTCCTCTACGCCGTCCTCCAGCCACTCCACCCCAAGCCTGCAGTGTTGCCTGGGGTTGTTGCATCGAAAGTGCAGGACCCGGCATTTGGCCTTGTTGAACTTCATCCCATTGGCTCCAGCCCAGCTCTCCAGCCTGTCCAGATCCCTCTGTACGGCCTCGCTACCCCCAGGCAGATCCACACTTCCAGCCAACCTTGTGTCATTTGCAGACTTACTGAGGTGCACTCAATGCCCTCATCCAGGTCATCAATAAAGATACTGAAGAGGACAGGCCCAGCACCAACCCCTGAGGAACACAATTGGTGACAGGTCGCCAGCTGGTTTTAGCTCCATTCACCACCACTGCCTGGGCCCAGCCCTACAGCCAGGTTCTTATCCAGCCAAGAGTGTATGCATCCAGGCCACAGGCTGCCAGCTTCTGCAGGAGAATGCTGTGGGAGACAGTGTCAAAGGCTTCGCTGAAGTCTAGGTAGACCACAGCTACAGCCTTTCCCTCATCCACCAGATGGGTCACTAGATCATAGAAGGAGATCAGGTTGGTCAAGCAGGACCTGCCCTTCAAGAAGCCATGCTGGTTAGGCCTGATCCCCTGGCTGTCCTGCACATGGCACGTGATCTCCCTCCAGACAATCTGCTCCATAACCTTCCCTGGCACCAAGGTCAGGCTAACAGGCCTGAAAACAGAACTGAGTTTCTTGCTACAGACTCCTATGCCTTGCTATGAGGGGACTCACAACAGCTCCAGCTAGAAGACTGACACACAGGACAAGAAACATCAACCTGCTGGGATTCACAAACGCAGGGATGAGAACCACAGGTGCCCCCAGAATAAATAAATAATGTTTCATGGTACCTGTAAACCCTCCTTTCACCCCACCTGTCTTGCCCACAACAAAAGGCAGTTAGCGTATGTGGAGAACACATGCTAAACTCAGCAATTACACCCTATATTTGGGAGGAAAGCGTTGAGGAGAATGAGACTGTACAGCAGTTTAATTTCCAATTCAAGGAAATAGTATGGGCTAGCAATATGGTTTATCATTTTGCCTCTGGAAAAGATTCCACGGGTAAGAGACAAACAGATACAGCCTAAAGCAGAGCAAAATGAGTCTTTCTTGTGCCAGCAACGCTCAGGAAGGAAGGAAGGAGACAACATGGTCAAGCTTTCATGTCCCAGAACTACTTGCCACTCTATCCTTCACTTTTCTGCTAAGTCTGACTCACTAGTAAATTATGTCATAGCCATACACATTTCAGTAACAGGCACCTGTACACTGTGCTTCCACTTCTGCCTCTTGTTCAGGGTCCTCCTGGAATTTACTGAAGTTAAAGACATTCCCATCATTCCCCCAGAGTTGCTTGGAGCCACAGATATTGTAGACAGTGTTTCTGAAACAAGAGGAGACTAAAACAGTGAACAGAAGCGATGAACGCTGCAGCCAGTTATATTCGAATTACCCAGCGACACACTTCTCCTCATTCATCACATCTCCCTCCTCCCAGAACCTGCCTCCACCATTTGATTTAAAAAAAAAAAGAATCATTCATGGCACTGGTGGATCTAAGGGGAGCAAAGCTGAAACCGGCACGTATCAGAAAGATGCCACAAAATTGCTACCAGCACAGCCAAGTGAATCAGATGGAGATCTTTTCCACACCGTTCAGCCCTCTACATAAAGGCTGGACAGAAGGCAGCAGATAAAATCACAATCATTTCTTCTTTCTTTCTCTCCCTCTCCTCTTCCTCCCTTAGCTCAGTTCCTTGCAGAAGCCCTCAGACAGAAACAAAAGTTCAGCTCTCTACAGCCAAAACTGCCACAACAGTTACAGCTGAAGCTGCCACAGGTCCTGTGATCTAAATCACATTTAATAACCTTGCCACAACTAATTTGATAAGCTTTGATACAGTACAGAGATTCTGGAATAAAACTGCTATGAGATCTGGAAGCAGTCAATCACAGACTGTTTGTTGCAGTTGCTGCTTTCAGATGCTGCCAGAAGAACTAGAAGATGTCTCCACAAGATCATGGAGAACCAGCAGCATGTCAGTGTTTTTTGTAAAACCTATACAAGAAAGTGAGACAGCTGCCTATTTCTATATAAGTCTTCTCTCTTCCCATCAGCTGAAAGAAAATAAGCCCCTTGTTCTGACACATACACAGGACATCATGTTAGCTACGTCTTTACTGTTAATGAAGCTGGAGCTTAGATATTATTCTCCTTTTTGCCTTTTTACTGTGAGGCTCACGAGTAGAAAAGCAGAAATTTCTGACCTAAGCAAATGCATTGGCAGAAGAGATCAGCAGACCTCCACTCCCCGTAGGCTGCAGTGGGCATTACTTTGATGCAATTTTCCTGCTTCTCTTTATTTCATGCTATGCTGTTTTCCCCATGAAACCAGAACAACTCAGGAATCGGAGGAACTCAGCTGAAACCAAACACACTACACAACAGAGCCTGCAGAAATGTTCACAGGACCAAGGTAACAATTGGATCCAAGGATGAAAAGAAACAATTATTACTCAAGCTTACAAAAGTAAGGCTGGGGAGGAGTTACGATTACAGTATTTTTAATCAAAGTGCAGAGGAAAGAACGCACTTTGTATCTATCCTGCAAAACAGTACAGCTGAGATTGCTACTCTTATGTACCATAGGAAGCCTCTCTTCCTATCAGCATCAGACTGTAGCCAGAGCAGCAGCGATACAAAACTACAGCAAACCTCCCCTCCAAAAACATTTGGCAAGTGCCTGTGACCACCTGCATGCTGTGGGCTATCTGTAAATAAGTGATGAGGATATGCTTAAGGACACACTGGTGCGGACTGTCTTTGAGCAACAGTATCTGCTCAAGGTTTGTAATGTGTAAACCCCGATGGAGCCACAGCTTGCAATCACAAACATGAAATCAGTGCAGGCAGGGGGCTTGTTCACATGCCTGAAAATCAGCCAAGCTACAGCAACTTGTGTAGTGTCAAGGCCTTTTTACAGGCTCAAATGCCTCGAGCTTGAAGTATCTGCTCTGCAAAGTACCCAAGATCCTTTCAATCCACTGGAAAGGGCTTCTATTGCTAACCTACAGAGTACATACAGTTCAACCTGCCCAGAAGTCCTTCCAAGAGCAATGTTCAGATGCACCACAGAAAATAAGCAAACTACTAGATGCACCTAGGGAAGCTTAATCAAGCTCTGATTCTGCCTCTAGGATCTTTTGCAAGACCACTATATCTTGTGAAACACAGTAGAACAAGCGGATGTCAAAGAAGCTCCAACATAAAGTTTGTTTCTTCATAAAACTGCTTCATGGCTTATCTACCTAGAAAAGTGCCCCGATTCAAACAATATAAACAAGCAAGTAATGCACAGATGGGCATGCGAACTGCACTGCAACTCTCCTCACACACTTACTGTATCTCTGTCCAAGGGTGCTTAAGGGAGATGTTCTGCAAAGCTGTAGCTGTTTGGGGTGCAGGCAAAGAGGCTGCCTGTAAACCCACCACTTCTGTTGGCGTTTTGACTGGAGGCAGAAAGCCCTCATCTTCAGCAACATCTACATGGAAACAAACCAAAACATGAAAGGCAAGTAAGTGTTCAAGGCAGTCTTTCATTAGACTTTGACTCCTCAATGTAACTTAAGAACCACAACATTTTCTTACATTTAGGCATTCTGTATACAACATGTCAGTAACAAAAGCAGCAGAGCAGGTTTCCCTTATATAAGATGAAATTACAGAAGGTTCCAAGTAGTCCCTGAGCAGGTAATTTATTTCTACCCAGTGGCTTCAAGCACTTGTACATGAGAAAGACCTTAGAAATTAAATTCAAGCCTCTCAACAGATAAAGAGCAGAGTTATTGCTGTTCCCCACCCTAGTCGCAGTGTTTCTTAATACGTAGGTAACAGCTCACAAATATTTTTGTTATACTACTGCTGCTTATGATAGTGAAATGCCAGGGTATTTAAAGCAGAGACTTAGCAGGGAGCAGGTTGGTTGCTTTAAATAAAACATCTAGTGCATCTAGTCATAGCTAAATATATGGATGCTCTGTCTCTGCCCTCCATTGGCCTCTTTACTCAAACTGCTAGGCACGTGCACCTTTATTCCTCCACCACTACAGGACTTGCTTGCTGCTGGCTTCACAGTGGAAAAGGACACCACCAAACATGCAGGGTTCCAGAGTACGAGGGAAGCTAAGAGGGGATTCACAACCATAAGATACCTGAATATTGCCTAGCACACGCCGTGGCAGATCAAGAGACAGTGCATTCACGTTCATCTCCAGTAAGGCCACGACCTCCAAACACCAATCCAGGCAGTGATAGTTGGCACGTGCCTTTAAATACCTGGGCAGTGCCTCATTTAGAGATGAGAACCGCTCACCACTCAGAGGCTGAAAGCAAATGAAGGGATGACACAGGTGACACTTACTTATTCTGCCAACTAGAGGTTCATTTACAAGCTGGGAGCTGCCCACGGGAAATCTGCTCTGAGCACTGCAAAATTCCCAACGTCTCACTTGTAGCTGCTGCAGCCAGTACATCATTGCCTGTTTGCTGATTGCCTAAGAGAAAACAGAAAGCAGCAGACAATCTTAACAGCATAAGACATAATCTGTAGGGTTAACAACCACTGTTCTGCCCATGTTAGCAAAAATAAAAGGCAGCTGAGTCATGCCTGTGCTACATTCTCCAGTCCCAAATCTTAATTTGGAGAGAGAAAGTAAATCTTCAGCATGGCCTTAGCAACAGAACCTCACTAGATAGCTGACCAAGTTCTAACCGTTTCTGGTTTACTGTGTTCCAAGACTGAGCAGAAATGTTATTACTTTAGGTGGGAATCATGAACAGAGTTCTCTTAATAGAGACATTCACAGAGATAGGAATCTAAGCTTCCTGCTGCGGGAACCAGTTCATACAGAGGAGCTCATTTCTATTCAATAAGTTATGCATGGGTGCAGGACTCTCAAATTACTTCAGTCCAGCACCCAGTTTGGCTTTTACTCCTACTCTGTTAAAGAAAAGCCATCTCAGTGACAGAAACCCAGCCTTACAAAAACAGAGCAAGGAACTCAGGTTTACAAGGTAACAGTCCAGGCTGAAGGGATTAGCACAAAACTCAGGCTGAGGTACATTACAGAGGTGAATCTGTCCTAATGGGGAATGTTTTGTAGCAGCCCTCAAATGAAGCTGCTGCCTCTTACCTTTAGAGTAAAAACTCTGTTTGGTGTTCTGATCTCAAAAACCCCTTCATCATTTTCTACTTTGCAGTCAAAGCTAGCACTGGAGAGATCAATAGAGCCCAAAGGGTTGATGTCCTGTGCAGTCCTGTAGTATAGTAAGTGGCACTTATTTTCATCATAAATGAACCACCGAGACTTCCAGGTCTTGATTGGACCCCTAATGCCTAGCTTATTTAAATAGCCACAGAGTTTTTTTCTGTGTGTTTCACTGCTGGGTTTCAGCTGTATGTTTTCCAGTTCTCCAGGAGAGGGAAGCACATCTTTCTCTTTTGCTGAGTCTCCGTTGCTCCTACTGCCATCTGAGTTTGGCTCTGTTATCTCGTCTGGAACTCCAGCACTGGGACAAGCACCACTTCCTGGTCCTTTCTTCATCTCTTTCAGGAAATACACTCAGAACCAAACTGAAACAGGAAATCTCCAGGTAAACGAGGTACAGCAGATACCAACTATATCAACATTATTCTACAACCTGCAGAAGACAAAATTGAGGAATATGCTTAGGTCTCATATATGACAAAAAAAAAAAAAAAAAGAAAAACAAACAAACAAAAAAATCACACCACCACATTCCCTAGCTTTCAAATTACCCAGCAGAGGTCCCCAGTGTCCAATATTGGTCATTGCTCTTTCCCTTCCTGGGCTCTAATGACCTCTACATCTCAGTTTTCTGTCTACAGTTTGTAAGAAGTCTCTACTAGCAGCAGAGAAACCACTACAATCTTTCAGGTGAAAAACAAGTACATCCTGCAGGCATTTCAAGTCATTAGCAACAAATGGGGCTTTTGAAGTCACAGAGAAGAATATTAAGTATTAGCTGCAGAAAACAAGGTTAACAACCTCTGTTGGGACACAAATTCAGGTCAATGGCTTTCAGGTAAGCTTGTCACTGCATGCTAAGCTAATATTTTAAACCACAGTACCTGGAGAAAAACCCCTCCTTATGGCAGCTGAAGAACGCTGTTAAAAAGCCAGCATACCGTGCTCTGGGTCTTATTCAGCAGGCCTCACCTGATGGATTAGGCACCAGAGAAAGTGATTCCTACTAAACAGACTCGGTTATTCCATTGCCTAAAGAACCCTGCTGTGTTTCTGTAAGGAATGCAATATGCAACAGAGAAACAGAAAAACAACACAGGAGGGGATTTGGGCAGATTCTTAGCCCTGTCCTCCTCTCAGAGACAGGGTCAGTTTCAAAGCTGTACCTGACTACATGGGTTCACATGCACATGAATTCTGATTATGTGCTAGGGTGGCAAACCTACCACACTTGTGGGCAAATTAGGGAGAAATGACTTTTTGCTCACAACTGCATATAACAATGTCTAGTGGTCCTTGCACAACAGAAATAACAACACCCCAAAATAAAACCTATTAGAAACTATTGATGGGGTTTCTTTCTTTTTTTTTTTTGTTAAATAAAAGCCTATCTTGAAGCTCACCTAATGAAAAAGCCTGCCAGAGGCTTCAGTATAAATACTGCAGTATCAGAAGCAAATGTGTAAGCAAATACATATTAGTGGGAATCCAACAGCAACCACAAAAACATTGAACACTGAACCAGTGGTGTGATGACAACAGGTCAATGGGGATAACACAAAGGAGCACAAAAAGACACTGGCCAAGCTCATACTTTTAGGAACAACATCCTCCTTACTGGTACAGGCTTACAGACATTAGTATTTAAGCTCCATTCCTTTAATGCTGCTTCCTCCCATTCACTCATCTGCTTCTCAAAAAGCTACAGAACACTCACTTTTTTTTTTTTCTTTTTTTATTCACTTATTTCATCCACTCTCTTACTGCTGAAAATACAAATGCCAGAATAAGCACATTACGTAGGTGCCACTTCAGAAGCCTAATTTCCAGGCTAATTTTGGCTGGTTCAAGGGAACCACTATCAAGCAGCAGCAGCCTCAAGCCTTCCTAGCAACCACAGAATCACAGAATGGCCAGGGTTGGAAGCACCTCAAGGTCATGAATCTCCAACCCCCACCACAGGCAGGGCCACCAACCTCCCCATTTCACAGCAGCCCAGGCTGCCCAGGGCCCCATCCAACCTGGCCTTCAACACCTCCAGGGATGGACGAGGCATCACCTCCTCTCTGGGCAGCTGTTCCAGCACCTCACCACTCTCACAGCACACAACTTCCCCCTGACACCCAACCTCCATCTGCCCTCCCTCCACTTCAAACCATTTCCCCTTGTCCTGCTGTCATCTCCCCTTTCCAAGAGCTGACTCCCCTCCTGTCTTTAGGCTCCCTTTAGGTACTGCAAGCTGCCATGAGGTCACCCCACAGCCTCCTTTTCTCCAGGCTGAATGAGCCCAGCTCCCTCAGCCTGTCTCTGTAGGGGAGGTGCTGCAGCTCCTGATCATCTTTGTGGCTCCTCTGGACCCTCTCCAACAGCTCCCTATCTTTCTTGTACTGGGGGCTCCAGACCTGGACACAATACTGCAGGTGGGGCCTCACAAGAGCAGAGCAGAAGGGGATGATCACCTCCCTGTCCCTGCTGGCCGCCCCTCTTCTGATGGAGCCCAGGACACCATTTGCCTTCCAAGCCACAAGGGCACACCGCTGGCTCAAAGCACAAGGACTTCCTGCGCCATCCAAAGACTCCAACACACTTCTAGCTGTGCTGACGGTGACACTCCATGGCTCCACCACACAGGTTCAAGAACCTCGTTAGAAGAGCTCTGGTCAAATCTGCATTAACGAGGGCTATAGAGAAAGCCTCACCTACTTGCAGGATTCTGGAGAGATGCCTCTGGAAGCCACTGTCTACTGCTGCAGAGCTGCAGACACCCCAGGCCGGGTGACCACGGCCTCTACAACAGATCCGACAGTGAGAGGAGCCTCTGCTTCAAGCCTCCCTCAGCCTGCGAGCCGTCCGAAAGAGCCGTCCAGCCGAACGCGGCACTGACTCACCGACGAAAAGGGAAGATGAGGGTGGGCCCCGCACAGACGTTTCTCCCCCCGCCCTCCCACAGCCTCACAGCACAGCCGTATCCCCGCCGGGGGGGCACGGCAGAGCCTGGCCCCGGGGTGCCCCCCCGGGGGGGGGGGGGGGGGGGGGGGGGGAGAAGGAAGGGATGGGGACCGGAACGGCCGGCCGGGAGCGGGATGCCACCGCCCCGAGCCTCCTCCGCGGCGGCGTGACAGGGAGTGGCAGAGAGAGCAGAAATAAATAAATCAGCACGGAAGGTGGAGCTCGGAGCCATGGGAGGCGGAGCAGGAGTCGCCTCACAGCAGAACGAGGGAAGGAAACGGCAGAGGGACCGGCGCCAGCTCACATGTCTGAGGGGCGCCGCGCCTGCGCACTACGAGCAGTGCTTACTGCGCATGCGCTACAAGCATTGCCTGCTGCTCCTGCGCACTACGCGCGGCGCCTACTAGGCCTGCGTCTCCCTCCGGCGGTGCGCTGTCTGCGCCTGCGTGTGCTGCAGGAAAGGTGGCGGCGCTGTTTGAGCCTCGTTCGCTCCGCCGCTGATTCCCGCCGCCATGAGGAATCTCCGGTTACTGCGGACCGGCGGCTGCTGCCCCGCCGCCGCTGCTCCCGGCAGCCCGCAGTGCTTTTGCCTCGGCGTCGATCCCGGCACGGTCTTCGTGGGTTCCCGGACCGGCCTGCTAGAGCTGGATTCCGCTGCGCAGTCGGTGAGGCGTCGATGATGGCAGGCTGCCGTAGTGTGGCCTTTCGGGCGGGCGGAGGAAGGCAACCTCATTGGGCTGCAGGCGGGTTTTCTGGGCTGTTTGCATTCTATAGTGTTTACCCCTTTTTTTTTTTTTTTTTTTTTTTTTTCCTGTAATGTTTCTATGTGCAAAGATGATGCGAAGATGATCAGGGGACTGGAGCACCTCCCCTACAGAGACAAGCTGAGGGAGCTGGGCTCGTTCAGCCTGGAGGAAAGGAGGCCGCGGGGTGACCTCATTGCAGCCTTTAGTATCTAAAGGGAGCCTACAAACAGGAGGGGAATCAACTCTTGGAAAGGGTAGATAACAGCAGGACAAGGGGAAATGGTTTGAAGTTGAGGGAGGGGAGACGGAGGTTGGATGTCAGGGGGAAGTTGTGTGCTGTGAGAGTGGTGAGGTGCTGGAACAGCTGCCCAGAGAGGCTGTGATGCCCCGTCCATCCCTGGAGGTGTTGAAGGCCAGGTTGGATGGGGCCCTGGGCAGCCTGGGCTGCTGTGAAATGGGGAGGTTGGTGGCCCTGCATGTGGTGGGGGGTTGGAGCTTCATGATCCTTGAGGTCCCTTCCAGCCCTGGCCATTCTGTAATATATACAGAAGTGTAGGTCATGGAGAGAAAGCTGCAGATGCCCAACTGATTTAAAGAAAAACGCACCCCTAATTAAATACTGGAGTACATCAGCTGCTTCTTAATGCCATCTGTGTGCAGTGCCTTGTGTAACTGCAGTGGATGGAATATGTACATGGTTGTTATTCTGTTGCTTTTGTAAAAATCTTGAGTGAGATGATGTGCAGTTATTAAGCTGTTGGCCTTTTCTTGTCAAGGTGGTGAGAGAAGTTTCTTTGTCTGAGGAAGGTTTTATGCCAGAGGATGGAAGTGGCTGCATCGTTGGCATGGAATATCTTCCAGAGCTGGAGTGTGTGTGTGTTGCCACAGCAGATGGAGACATCCTTCTGTGCTATCTCAGCACAAAGCAGGTAATGTGGCAGAAAAGAGAACTGTACTGAGGGATCGCAAAGGAAAGCTGAAAGCCTGCAGGCCAGTTGTGTGTTTATTCCATACTCTTCAATTAGTCTCCATTTTCTGGGCAGGTGAGTTGATTTCTGTGGAAACCAGGCAGAATCAAGCACAGAATATACGCTGCATAAATGAACCAGAATCGAAATTGTAGTTTGCAAATCTGTAGCCCCACTCCTGCATGCTTGCTGAGAGGGCTGCTGACATACAGTCAATGTGATAAGGGAAGGAAAGGGGTGACCAGATTCACAAATAGTTAGATTAAGGCAAAACAGTACTTAGAGGTTTACACACAATCATCAGTTTTAGTGAGAATCCATATATTACAGTTATCCCCAAAATATTGGCACTCTATTACTTAGACTCTGTCTTAAACTGTGCAGCTAACCTGTATGATTTTGTGGAACCAAAATATGTCTTAACATCTCTACAAGACACGAGGCCTTTAAGAAGCCAGAATGGACCTTGCAATTACTTGATGATTTTAAGAGTCAAAAAGGACAAAAAGAGAAATCTGAGGAAAATGGAGAAATAGTGAGTCAGAAAAATGGATGGGAGAAACGTTGATCACTAGTCTGTTTTGAAGGTCTGTTTCATGGAGTTCTAGTGTCAACCTGCAGCACTGGAGAAGGGGGAGGAGGGTGTGTGCTCATCTGGAGGTCATAGTCTCACACCAGCAAACATCTGCAATGACCACAAAGACGGCAACTCCATGGTGTTCTTCTCAGGCATCCTTTTATGCCTATTGAGTTTGCAGGTGCTCTGTCCCAAGGCTGTAAATAAACAAGTTTGCAATAACAAGTTTGTCAAAAATAAGCTCGTAGCCGAAACTTTCTGGTGGGAAGGGAGGCCTTATCTCATTGAGAAAGCAATATCATAGTTGCTGAGAGCGTCTTCCTACTGCCTGCCATGATGATGATGTTGTACTGCAAGTGTTTGAAACCCGAGCACACCCCATAAAGTCAGAAAGAGTTTTTTGTTGTTCCTTTGCGTACATTCAACAAACAGTCTCACAGCCAGAAAATATTGCTGAAACTAGATACAGACCTCTGCTGTGAAGAAAGGCTGAGGGAGCTGTTCTGCCGGGAGAGGAGAAGGCTCCAAGAAGACCTTATTGTGGCATTCCAGTACTTCAAGAGAACTTCTAAATAGGAAGAAGACAGGCTTTACACAGTCTGATAATGACAGGGGGAAGCAGTTTTGAACTAAAAGAAAGTTAGATGTTAGAAGCAAATTCCTCACTTACTGGACGGTGAGGTGTTTGCACAGGCTGCCTGGGGAAGCTGTAGATGCTCCATCCCTGGAGGCATCCAAGGCCAGGTTGGATGGGGCCCTGAGCTTCCTCATCTGGTAGCTGGCAGCTGTGCCCAAGGGCAGCAGCTTGGAAATGGATGATCTCTAGTGTCCCTTTTAAGCTAAATCGTTCTGTGATAACTCACAGGTTTGTTAACTTTCTATTTTTTATCAGTAAGTAAAGAATATTATACTGACATGACTTAGCTGAAGAGATGAGAAACTTGTTATATTGTGATGTGAAGATTACTTGGGATTGAATAATAGAACTGGAAAACGCTGAAGGGAAACTTAATATATCCCAGCTGAGTAAATGGAGCAGAAACTGGGATGCCTACTTTCTGTTCTCTCCTCGTCATTCAGTATATGCCGTCTTCACTGAAATACCACAACAGAGTCCTCTGAAACTTGCATCTCTTCCTGCAGTATCAGCCTAAAAGTGTAAGCAGATGGAAGTGACAGTGGTCTGTTTGGGCTGGTTGTCATTGGTTACTTGCAGCTCATCCATTTTGGTTTCTGTTTGAGTTTGATTTGCAAATACTACTTCAATGTAAAACCAGCTGTATGTGAAAAAATGTGCTCTGCATTGCAACTCAATAAATGTCATATCAGAATAAACATTAACAAAAGATGCAATATGTAACTTTTCTCGCATTAAGTGTTAGAATTTATCTCAGTATTCATAATAATTGTTCTGCTCTGTGGCCTTTTGCAAATCAGGATGACAGTGAAGCAGATGGAGATCTGTCACGCTGTTGTTTATACACCCATAATAGCTCACAGAATCACTGGAAGGTTTGGAAGGGACCTGTGGAGGTCATCTAATCCAAAACCTCTGCTAAAGCAGGTTCCCTGCAGTAGGATCGATGCACAGGAAGGTGACCAGGCAAGTTTTGAATATCTCTGGAGAAGCAGACTCCACAGTGTCTCTGGGCAGTGCTCTGTAACTCTCAAGATGAAGAAGTTTTTCCTCATCTTCAGATCGAACTGCCTGTCTTCCAGTTTGTTCCCACTTGTCCTGTCACTGAGCACCACTGAGAAGATTCTGGCCCCATCCTCTTCCCTCTGTTCAGGTACACCAGGGGCACTGGAGTTTTTAATTGCATGTATCTATGGAGGGAAGAAGGAACTCTTGCCAAAGACAAGATATTTCAGTAAGGGGCTGATCACCAGCTCAGTGCTTGCATCTGATCGCATTTCTCAGTCACATTTGTAGCATGTGGTTTTCCGTAGAAGATTTTTAAAAGACGAACCCCCTCCTGAGCTCTGAAGTTATTTGAATTCTCAACAAAAGGAAGAACTCATTTCAGATGTGTTTCTTACACATCTTGCCCATATTTTCCTGTCTGTCTTTAATGTTTGATTCATTCTCTCTAGCTGGCCACCTGAGTGCAGTCTCCATGGTGCGTAAGTCCCGTTTCACGCACAGGAGCCTAGATACTCCTCAGGTTATTTCTGCTACAAAATGAGGTCCTCTGTCTGGAATGAGTCCTTCTGGAACACCAAATCTTGGAATTCTTTTTGTAAAAATTTGGCAAATTCTGGCTTTGTTGGTTTCCCACGGGAGTGGCCTGAGGTCACCATGAAAGGGTGTCAACCAGTACCAATAAAAATTTATGCCCGTTATGGTTTGGTAATTCAGAAAAATGACTTTGGCAGTATTCCTGGGATATAGATCCCCTTTTTACCTCTCCTGGAGTAGATCTCTTCTGAGCTTTAGGATTGTTTTGGCCCGTTTTTTGTAAACTTCAAAGCTTGCACAGCTATATACACTTGTCACATTTAATATCCACAAGCAGCTTTAGGGATCAGATTTGCAATGGATATGGGGCCTCTTAACTGCACAGTGGGGTTTTGTAGGCAAGGACAGTTGTATCTGTTATATCTGTAGAAACTTTGGGCTGTTGTATGTAAGCATTATGGAACTATCTTTCATTAGAAATGTTTCTTTTGTTTCTTTCTACACAAAGTGAAATGCATCCTCTGACTTTTCTAACTACGAGAGGAGAGTCA